TTTTTTTTGCAACAAGTGGCAGTCAGACAGCAACACCCCTCCCCGCTCCCATTTGCTAGCGCACGTCTAGGGAGTCACCAGGGGAGGGCTGGGCTTACGGCAGCCCCGGGGGATCGCCCCGCCGAGAGCCGTCCTGCTCGGGGCCGCGGGAGGGACCGGCGCCCGGGCGGGGGGCGCAGCGGGCTGGGAGACCCCCAGTGTGTGTCTGTGTGACCCCCAGTGTGTGTCCATGTGTGGGTGCTGGACGAGGGGAGTGCATGGGGGTGTGTGCAGGCTGTGCACACATAGATGTGTGAGGAGAAGGGAGTGTGAAGGAGGGAGTGGTGTGTGAGGAGTCTGCCCACACGTGTGTAAGAGGGTGCTGCGCGCATCACACGGCTTTTAGGGGGTCTGTCTGTGTGTGTAGATACCTGCGTGTGCTGGGAGAAGGTGAGTGTGTGTGTGTTCATTGCCTGCGTGCGTACAGTGGGATGGATGAGCCTCCCCCACACGTGTGTGTGCGGGGTGTCTGAGCAGCCCTGTGCCTAGGCACAGTGGGAGAAGTGATGCACTAAACGTGTGGGAGCCCACACACACCAGCCGGAGTGTGCCCGGTCTTTAAGGGGTGTGTATGCCCTGGGGCTGCGTGTGGAGGATGGGTGTCCATCCCCTGGAGCAGTAACCATGCATACACGTGTGCGAAGCCATGTGCACTGTCAGAGGGACTGAGCGCCTGCAGTGTGCGCACACACCTGTGTGTTTGCTCTTGGGGACGATAATAAACGTCCTATATGTGTCCGTGGGGAACTTGGGTGTGTGTGTTTCATGTATTCACCTGTTGGTTTGTGCAATCTCTGTTTGTGCGCACGTGCTTTTTTGGGGGAGGTGGGTGTGTGTGCTCACGCTGCCAACCCATGTGCAGGCACAAAGGGGTGTTTGGGGCACGCTCCAAGTGCTGTACCCTGAGCTCCATCCTCAAGGGCTGGGGTACCACAGCAATGTGAACCATGACCCTCAGCCTGGGACTTTGAAGGGATCTTTGTGGCAGGTGCTGTGGGTGCCTGGCCCCTGGCTGAAGGGTTCAGATTGTAATGTGGCCTGGATGCCCAAAGAGGCTTCCTGGCACGGGTAGAACAAGGCCATGTGTCTCTCTCACTCGACTGGCTCAATGCTCCTGGCTTAGCCTGTGTGGTAAGCTGTGGCACCAGGGTATCATCAAGTGTGTCTCCAGATGTCAGGCAAGGATGTAAGATGAGGTGAGAGCATGGCACCTCTCTGCCTTGGGTGCTGCCCACTGGCAGCATCCCCTGACTGTTTCCTTACTCTCCCTGACCTGCCTGTCTGCCAGATTTTCCTGATTCCTTTCTCTATGGAGGAAATTTAGCCAGGAGGCAAAGGAGGCACCTGCTCTTCCTTGGGCTTTTTTTGGCCATGGCAGCTTAGGATTTACATGGATGCCTGAGGAGCAGCGTTGCCCCACAACACTGTCCACAAGGGACAGTGGCTTTGATTCCATCCCACAGCCAGAGCAGTTTGTCACTGAGACTTCCTATTGCTACACTGGGTTTTGGTGGCATGGGATGACAAGAGGTTGGGTGGTAAGGGCTGGTAGCTCTGTCCTCTCCATGGCCACCTGTGTGCTGCAGGGGCCAGGGGCAGTCAGCATGAGCCAAATCCTCCTTTTTCCTTGAAGCATCTTGATGAAAAACAGCCACTGGCCATGCTGATGGCAGGAGCTGACTTTGCTCTCAGGCTCCATGGCCCAGCTCTGTCCCCTTCACCCCTTCCCTCTGCGGGGAAAAGCTGCTGCTTCTGTGCTCTCCAGTTTCCCTTTGAACATCTCCTGAGAAGCTACCCCGTGTCCTGCCATGGCTCTCGTGATTCTCAGGGCTCCTTAAGCTGCTGGCACCTCAGCTGCCTGTGACATAGTGCACCATGCTCACCAGGGAGGCTCTCCTGGAAAAATCAGACCATTCCCTGGGAGTGCAGGGCAGCTCCCGACCCTGCAGGGCCCCCAGGCGCTGTTTATCTTTGCACAGGAGATAAATTAGCTGTCGGCCATCCTATTTCAGGGCTGGACAGCCGTAGCTTGCACTGGCCCATCCCATCCCGCTGCGGCAGAGGCAGGGACCTCCTGGTGCTTGCCAGCCCCTCTGAGTGCTAGTCAGTGTGGCATTCTTGTTGAATTGCCACTGGGAAGATGAGACCTGGCCCTATTTCAGAAGGATCCACAGGGCCAAATGACCCTCAGGACTCATTGCACAGGACCCCATGCCACATGGTTCCAGCTTCCCCTCCCAGTGCTGCTGCCTTGCACCCTGGTGTGCTGCACCCTCTGCTCTGGGCTGTGCCTTATCCCCTGTACACTGAAAGCTGGGCTGGGTGGGGTGAGACAGAAGTGGTGACTTCTCTGTAGCCCAATAGGAGCCCAAGTGTTTGGGGAAGCTCCCCTTCTGCAAGGCAGAGGGGTTGGGGTGCTTGGGTCAGTTTAGCACCCAGGCCAGCTAGTGGCAACACCAAGGTCTCCAAAGGGTGCAGCGTATCCCATTGCCTTGGACATGGCCACCAAGGGACCTGTCCTACTCAGCTCTTCTCTAGAACCTGCACAGTGATAACAACAGCTCTGGAGTTCTGCCATGAAGTATGTCAGGCTCTCCTTGGGGCAAGCAAGCAGGACCTTGTCCCCTTTGCCCCGCCACTCAGCATTTTGCACCAATGGGGTTTGGTGATGCTCCCAGCTGGAGAGAAATTCCCCAAATGGCTATTGATGGCTGCAGCTGAGGAGGCACAGATAGATAGTGGAGGCATAGATGGGCACAGCAGACAGCGCAGCAGAGTGAGAGATACTTGGAGCAGAGATACCGCAGGAGGAATCGAGAGATAGATCCTGAGGGCTGATCAATACCCACTGCATGTGGAGGGACAGCAAGATAAAGCAAGTTGCAGGGGGAAGGTGTTAGGAGGGCAGCGATCTGCATTTGTCCTGGTGACAGCTCTGGGGAGATGCTCCTCATGGTTGCTTCAGTTGGGACAGGGATAGAGTCAGACCCAGGGTGCAGGTGTCCGTGGCTGACTCACTCTCCTTGCCCATCTCCAGCCACTCCATAGTTTGGTGCCCTTTGAGGTGTTCTGGGGTCCCATCTGGCCTCTAGACACCAAAAGGTGTGTATTTCCTGTGTGTCCTGGTCACATCTTCTGTCTCTTCAAGGAGAACCTGCTGCTGTGGGAGTTTTGAAGGATGCTGTGTCCCTGGGCAGCCAAAGGGGAAAGGGGCAAGCCCTGGCCCTGGCACAGGGGCTGTGCTGCAGCTGGGTGATTGTAGATGAGCTTCCAACCTGTTCCTCAGTTTCTCCATGAGAATCAAATGCTGCAGGCAGCTAGGTCAGGCCAGCATGGACTTGGGATGAAGAGGCATGGGAAGAAAAGGCAGAGGCACCAATAGCCTCTGTCCAGAACTCATTTCTTCTCTGCTGGTCATTGGAGACACTTACCTGATGAAGAGGTTCCAATCATGAAAGGGATGCTTTTTGTGACCCTTTAATGAATGCCTGGCACTCAGTGCTCTATGCTGGGATGGGGACAACCCCTCCTGCTGCAGCAGAGCAGCCAGGGTGCCTGGGTCTAAGCCCAGCTCTACTCTGCTGGCATTTGCCTGAGCTACCCCATGCTACCTGGTTTCTCCGCTTGTCATGGTTTCTTTCTTCATGCCAGCTGAGCTGGGAATGCTGAGGAAGGAACCCCCAGAGATGCTGAGGAAGGAACCCCCAGAGCAGCCTTTTGCATGGACAGCCCTGCAGCCAGGCTGGGGGGGAATCCCCCGCCCGGTGTGGAGTTATTGACACGGGCGCTACAGAAAACACTGCTGAGATTGTTCACACTAATGTTATTTAGCAGCAATATTTCCGTAATAAAAGAAATCAATGGGCAAGAGAAAAGACCTGTCCAGAGCTTTGATTTTCTTATTTTAATGGCATACTTATTTACTCCCACCAGCGTGCCCATTGGATTTTCATTACGCGGCCTTCGCTGTAAGTGGAGCGGTATTGATACGAGCTGCTGAGTTAGCGCCTTGCCGCGCGGGCCAGCTCGGGTGGGACTGCTCGTGTTCCCCAACGGGGCCCTGCCAAACCCCAGGGAACAGGCCTGGTGTGGGCCTGGCAGCCCACAGGAGCACACACAGGTGCACACACAGAGCCTGCCATGCGTGCACACACACAGGTGTGACACACGTGTGTCACCTGCATGGGCACACACACACAGAGGAACAAGACTCTTCTGACTACACCCATGCACATGTGTCCTACCCACATGTGCCCCAGCACTCACACACCTGCAGTTGCTCTGCACGGAGAGATGCCTGTTTATAAATGTGTGATAAATGCCTGTTTATAAATGTGATGCCATTTATAAATGTGTGCCCGTCCCACCCGTTGTACCCACACCCACCTGAAAACTATTCTACCTACATGCACACACAATCTGTGAACACATACACACACATGATGTGTCTGACAGCATGTGTGTGCACCTATGCGTGTGTGTGTGCAAACCTCTCAAAACCACCCACGGTGCGTGGGTCCAACTATCCTCGGGGGGCCACAGACTCAGCACTGCCACTATCCCTCAAAAAGATGGAGCCCCCTGAGCTCCGGGATTGCCCACGGAAGCAGGGACCCGGCACCAGCCCAGGCTTTTGGTCACCAGTGACTGCAGTGGCAAGAGGAGTAACAGCACCATCTTCTGCCAATCCCCGGCAGCTGAGGCAGGGCTGATCCTGCCTAGTGACGTACCCCCAGCTCCCAGGACCTTGAGTGGGATAATACCAGCTTCTCTGGGGACACCCAGCTGTCAGCAGGACTGCTGCTAAGGCTGGAGCTGGCCTTCACTGTGGCAGGGCTCAGCATACTCCAGAGACTCATCCAGAAACCCAAGTATGTGGGATGAACAACTTTATTACTGGTATCTCTTTTCAGGTAGCAAATTAAGAACTAGCCCTTGTGCAGGGCTGCTGGTCAGCAGAACAGGGACAGTCTGGGGAGCAGGAGAATCAACATGCTACAGGCCTGGGTGGCCAGAACACACTCACGTGTTTGGCAGCAGAATGGAGGTGAAAGCCCTCCACCAAGCAGTGAGCTCACACAGGTCTGACCACAGGGGCACAAGCAGGGTGCACATCTGGGTTTGGTTGGAGGATTACAGCACTCTCTTGGCAGCCGGGATCCCATGCCGGGAGCCGAGCAGAGTGGCTGTCCCCAGGGGGTCTCACAGCCAGGGGAAGCGTTTTGAGGGGCGAGATCCCATCCTGAGCTAGTACAGACATTTGGGCACTCGAGAACACTAGGTGCCTGCATAGCCAAGAGGCCACGCAGAACGGGGTCTCCATTAAGGCGACAGACGGTGGGTTTCCCCCGTGGGGGGCACTGCCTGGAGAGGACTGTGGGGAAGTGACCCTCTTCCAGCTCCAGCTGCCCCAGGGCAGATGACACACAGGGGAGCACGGGGCTCTCCAGCACAGAAACCGGGCATCCCCCCACTGCCAGGGGGTCTCAGCACAGATCCTTCCCTGTGCCAGGGTGACACTGTGTGCTGCCAACCCACATCAGCAGGGATGGAGCCACGGGAGATGCTGCCAGCTGGACACAGCACTTTGCGCTGCCCGCAGTCCCGGCAGGCTGCCAGAGACAGGGGGGACTGAGGGGCCGACCTCTGCAATGGGTGCGCTGGTCTGCTCTACCCTGTGCACCCTGCCCCGAGGGCAGCATCACTCCCCTGGTGTCTCAGGAGCTGAGGAAATCTTTCAGGGCTCGGGGACAGCCAGCTCCAGCTTCTCTCCCACTGCATGCTGAGGGCACACAGGGGTGTTTGTACACTGCAAGGCCACTCCAGCCCCGAGGGATGGAAAAGCAGGACGTGACTCCGATAGAAAGGAGGGACGGGCAGGCAGTAAAGAGAACTGACGTTCTGTGTTGCTGTGACTGCCAAGGTCCCTCTGTCCTGGCACCCTGTTGGCCTGCGGGGAAAGGACAGAACAATTTGGGGAAGGCACAGGGGATCTCCTGCTGCCTCTGCTAGAACCTGGGCTCGGGGAGGAAGAGAAAACGACTGGGAGGAAAGGAGCCAACCGGGCTCAGCAGGGTGCCCTGGTGAGACGGGCTCAGCACCCAAAGGTGGTGAAGAAGGCATTTGCTTCCAGGAGCAGGCCCTTTGCGTAGACACGCAGGGTGTAGAAGAGGGTGACGAAGTCCTGAGTGCTGAAGAGGGTGTCAGCCAGGGCGAAGGCGAGCGTGGAGGGGATGAAGCCCCGGCCGTACTCCACCATCCAGGTGCCTGCACTCCACTGCACTGATGTGGCCTCTCCCGCCTGGTGCACGATGGTGTCGCCTGCCAAAACACACAACCAGCACGGCTCCCAGTGGCTGCCCCACATCACACCCAAATGGGAGACACAAGATTAGGGCCTGCAGGGTTGAGCCTTCCAACCCCACCACAGCCGTGTTCCCTTTTCTCTTACTGCCACCCACTGAGATGCTGGGATGTGCCACTGGGGACCCAGACTGCTCTAACCTGAGCTCTTGGCTTCTGTCAGCTCAAAGGAAGGGCCTCTATGACAGCAAGTGCCTGTGCCCCAAACACATGGATGCAGCCCACTGGTCACCATACTGCTGCACTTACCTGGATAGTAGATCTCACTTCTGGTGGTCCCCTCCTTCCACTGCCGGAATGTCCCCGAGATGACGGTGTCAGAAATTTCTGCCCAGTAGCGACCTGTAGCAGGACAGACAACACTGGCTCAGTGTCTCCCTGCCAGGGACAGCACAGAAGCCCAGCTGTGAATCATGGAGCAGGAGGGTCAGGATGGTAGCTCCACTGCCTCAATACACCAACAAATGCCAACAGCTCTGGTACCCTTACTGACTGTGTGAAGAGCCATATACCACCAGCCACGGCTGCTTGGTGTCCTTAAGCCCCATTATTTCCAACTTTGGCATTTGCTCCCTCCTGAAGCACTGGGAGATGAGATGTCTGCCATCGCCTGCCAGCTGGATGCGGAAAGTCCTGGCCACACAGCATGTCACACACAGGGACCTGCAGATGCTGCAGGACACCATGGGGGCTGATCCCCTTGCAGGGAGTGTTTGGCCAGCATCATTTACCCCATACAAGTAGTGAAGCAGCAGGCTCCCTGTGCTGGGCACACCATGGGCAGCTGCACCTGAAAGAGTGGTGTAGAAATAGCTTGGAGAACTCCCCTGCCAGCAGCTCGGTCCCGCTGCTTACCTGAGTGTCCCCCGGTGTCGATAGCTGTCCCGAAGAGCAGCACGTACTCGGTGAGCGAGGCATGGAGCAGGCACATGGAGCCCATCCACCCGCCCGCATTCACAAACACCCACTGCAGGTCCTCGTCTGGCAGGATGTGCCCTGGGTGCTTCTTTCGCAGCTCCACAATGATCTTGGAGAAAGCCAGCTCATGGTCCAGCCCTGCAGCACACAGGGTCACTCTAAGTCCCTGGCACAGAAAAAGCTCAGCCGACCAACCCCCCAAATTCTCAGCACAGCCATAGGGTTTCAGCACACCCTTGGAGAGGTCTGCCTAGGGAAGATATCTCCTCTCTCCAGCCCTCAGCTCCCGCTGACCCAGCTCCACCGCCTCCCTGGATGGTGACAGAGGATAAGCAGCACCAAGTGCTCCAGTCCTACAGCCCATCCCAGATGCTGGGCAATGTGGGAGATCCAAACAACGTGACAGTGCCTCTCTCCTGGTGACATGCAGCTCCGACCAAACTCCCTGTGCCCTATGAGGACAGCTTTCTTCTGAAGCTCCAGGCTGACCCACCAGGGGCTTCAGCCCCAACCAGGCTGGATGATGTCGCTGCCCTGGTCCCCGTCGCTCTTTTGCTCCAGTCCCATTTTCCACCCTGCTTTCCTCGCGTTCCCTGCTGCTGTTCCCCGGTACTGATCCCCTCCCTCTCCCAGTCCTGCTGCCCAGGTCCAGCTCCCTGCCCCTCCCCGGCCCCAGCCCCACTCCCCCCATGACCCCTGCTCCATGACCCCGGCCCCCCTGTACCGAATTCTCCTCGGTCCTTCGTCTCCGCTACGGCTCCCCCCTCCAGCCCAGGCCGCCGCTCCCCGCCACGTCCCCGGCTCCTCTCTCCATCCCCAGCCCCTTGTCTACCCCCATCCCCACGGCCATTCCTCCTCGGCCCCGCTCCCCGCCGCCCCTCCGCGTCCCCACGGGCGGCGCGTACCCGCGTGGTGCCGGGCGAGCTGTGCGATCTCGGCGGGGCTGAACTCGTATCGCTTGGCCGCCAGCCACCCGCGCAGCCCCTGCAGCACCAGCGCCANGGCGGCTGCGCCGGCGCGGTGGGGCGGGGCGGGAGGCTGGAAGGGGCCGATCCCGCCGGTTTTCCGGGATTGGGGAGGCATGGAGCCATCGTTGGCCGGGGTGGCGGAGGGGGGTGGCCGCTTCAGCGCCAGCGGTACGGATGGGGTCGCCTTGCTCCATCCTTCCCTTCAGACTCCCGGCGGAGCCCAGCACGACCCCGGGAAGCGGGAGCTGCGGGGACCTCCCCTGCCCAGAGCAGCGGGGCTCCCGGGCTGGGACAGGGAGGAAGGGGTGAAGCTGAGGAAGGGCATAAAGCGGCGTGCATAAGGCAGACCGGCCTGCTTGTCCCCTGAGGGAGCGTGGCGGGTACGGTGCTTGTGCCGCCATTGCGGGGGGGCTGCGCCTGAGTCCCCGCTGCTCTCCCTCCCCTCAGAGCACCAGCACATTCGGTACAACCCGCTGAGGGACGACTGGGTGCTGGTGTCGGCCCACCGGGTAAAGCGCCCTTGGCAGGGCCAGCTTGAGAAGCCGCCCCCTGAGGATGTGCCCCGCTGGGACCCCAAGAACCCCCTCTGCCCTGGAGCCACCCGGGCCAACGGCGAGGTACCACCAGGGACACAGGGACCTGGGCTGCCCCTGCCACCCGCTCCTGCCTTCATACCATCTCTCACCCCGGCAGGTGAACCCCAAGTACGAGAGTACTTTCGTCTTCCCAAATGACTTCCCTGCACTGCAGCCTGATTCTCCAGAGCCTGGTAACTTTGGGGAACGGAGTAGGCTGCTGGGCACCCCCCGACTTGGGTCCTGGAGAGGCTTGGGTTCTGCCTCAGCACCTTCTCCCTGCCCACTCTCTGTCCTTCCCCAGATGACAGTGATCACCCCTTGTTTCAAGCTGCTGCAGCCCGGGGTGTGTGGTAAGTACCTTCATGGCTCCAGTGGCTTTGGGACACAATTTGTCAAGAACCTGTGGAATGGTTCTGGGCTGGGCCTGCTCCCCTCATGCAGTGCCTGTACTGTACACACCTACTCAGTTTTGGGGTCATTCTGGGGGTTTTGGCCTTGTTCCTTGTCCCACTGCACCCAGCAAAGCTGTGCGCATCTCTGGAGACACCTGCAGTCTCAGCTAAGCGTGTTTCCTCTACAGCAAGGTGATGTGTTTCCACCCCTGGTCGGACCTGACGCTGCCCCTCATGTCCCTGCCAGAGATCCGGGCTGTCATCGATGCGTGGGCAGAGCTGGCGATGGAGCTGGGTGCTTCCTACCCCTGGGTGCAGGTGTGGGGCTGGTGGGGGCTGCTCTTTTGTGGGTGATGGTGGGAGGCCAGCACTGGGTACTTTAGCAGTACTTGGGGTTGGGAGTATCCTAGCTGTGTGTGGGTCTCTTGCTTTGTGTCCTTTATGCCTTTTGAGCCTTTGTGCCCTGCTGAGCCTTTCCACATGGGTGTGAGGCTCTGTCCTCCTGCGGGTTGCTTCCCTGCTCTGCGGGGGACACCAGAACAGCCTGCAGTGGGAGCCCTGTGGCTGGGACCTGCTGCCTGCCCCTCTTCCTCTTGTAGATCTTCGAGAACAAGGGAGCCATGATGGGCTGCTCCAACCCCCACCCCCACTGCCAGGTGAGGCTGTCCCACCTGTGACCTGGCTAAACTACAAGTCCCTGTGGTGACTCTGCAACAAACCCTGAGGGCAGATGTGAATGGCAGTCGCCCTGCCTTGGTCCCGAAGCTTTTTGCAGTGAGGATACCCCTGTGTCTGTCCTGTCACCCTCCTTCTGGGGACTGTCCCTTGTGGCTGTCACATGCCAGACTGTCCACCTGGTGGCAGCAGGGACCTCCAGATGAGCAGCCTGACTAGGGGTATCCCTGCAAGTGAGGGGTATGAGCACCTCAGTCCTGTGCCCCAATGTCCCTCCCAGGTGTGGGCCAGCAGCTTCCTCCCGAACGAGGCGCGCCTGGAGGACCAGACCCAGCGCCAGCACCTGAGCAAGCACGGTGTGCCCATGCTGCTGGAGTACGCTGAGCAGGAGGCTCGCCGAAAGGTGAAGGCATGGATGTTGTCCATATCCCCTCCCTGGGAGCTGGTTGTGTGGTGGGGTGGAGTCTCCAGCCCCCAGGAGATGGGCTCTAGGAATGCCCTGGGGAGTTGGGACATTGTATGTCCCCATCAAACACTGCGTGTAACACCCCCCTGCAGTGTTACAGGCTGGGACAGGGTGGCTGGACAGTGACCAGGAAGAAAGGGATGTGGGGGTGCTGGTTGGCAGCTGACTGAACATGAGCCAGCAGTGTGCCCAGGTGGCCAAGAAGGCCAATGGCACCTGGCCTGTACCAGGAACAGTGTGGCCAGCAGGACCAGGGAAGTCATTCTTCTCCTGTACTTGGCACTGGTGAGGCTCCACCTTAAATACTGTGTCCACTTCTGGGCCCCCAGTTTAGGAAGGATGTTGAGATGCTCAAATTCATCTGGTCAAAGGCAGCAAGGCTGGTGAAAGATCTGGAACACAAGCCCTGTGAAGAGCGGCTGAGGGAGCTGGGGCTGTTTAACCTGGAAAAAAAGGAGGCTTAGGGGAGACCTTATCACTCTGCTACTCCCTGAAAGGAGGTTTTAGTCAGTGGAGGGTTGGTCTCTTCTGCCAGGCAACCAGTGACAGGACAAGATAACACAGTCTTAAGCTGTGGCAGGGAGCTTTAGGCTAGACATTAGGAAAAACTTCTTCACTGAAAGAGTGATTGGGCATTGGAATGGGCTGCCCAGGGAGGTGGCAGAGTCAAAAAGACTGGGTGTGGCACTCAGGGCCATGGTTTAGTTGATAAGGTGGTATTAGATCATAGGTTGGACTTGGTGATCTCAGAAGGCTTTTGCAACCTAGCTGACTCTGCGATTCTGTGCCCTGCAGGAACGGCTGGTGGTGGAGAATGCAGACTGGATGGTCGTGGTGCCATACTGGGCTACCTGGCCCTACCAGACCCTGCTGCTGCCCCGCCGCCATGTCTGTCGCCTCCAGGACCTCAGTGACAGTGAGAAGGACAGTGAGTGGCTCTGAGCTTTGTTGTACCCCATTCCACATCCTTTGGGCTTGACCTTTGTTATGAGGCAGCTGTGCTGGTGCTGGAGGGCTTGTGTCCTTGGGGTGGGGGCTGCCAAGCTTAGCTGAGGAGGGGAATGGCGCCTCTGTTCTGTTAGGATAAGAACTAGTTGTTTGGGCACAGCCAGCACTGCTCGTGGCACTTGTGTCCTTTTGGGGTGATGAAGCACATGGTGCTCCCTGCTTTGGTGGGAGGCTCCTCCTGCTGCATTGCTCATGCTCCCTGTGTGACGCGAGGGAATTCCCAAGCGTATCCCCACTGCCTGTCACTGATGTCCACGCGGGGAGAGGTGCTGCAGGTGACTGCACTGCACACCTGGCACGCTGCTGGCCAGCTCAGGGTGTGAATCACTGTCACTTTCCTGCAGGCCTGGCCTCCATCATGCAGAGGCTGCTCATCAAGTACGACAACCTCTTCGAAGTCTCCTTCCCATACTCCATGGGCTGGCACGGTGAGTGGCGTGGCTCTGCAATCCTCTCATCCACATCCCTGTCTCCTCCCTGTGGCTCATGCAGTGCCTCTACCCCCTGCAGGAGCCCCCACAGGCCCCTACCTGGAGGAGGACTGCAGGCACTGGCAGCTCCATGCCCACTACTACCCCCCGCTGCTGCGCTCCGCCACCGTCCGCAAGTTCATGGTGGGATATGAGATGCTGGCACAGGCGCAGAGGGACCTCACCCCGGAGCAGGTGAGTCCAGCTCAGGGGGATTGGGGCACCCAGGGGGTTGTATGCCAGGGCTGTCCCTGGGAGCAGCCCCTGGCTGTCCCTTGTGCTGTGCCCTGCAGGCAGCCGAGCGCCTGAGGAGCCTCCCTGAGGTGCACTACAAGAAGAGGGCTGAGGAGGTGTGATGGGGAGCAGCAGAGCAGCCAGTCCTCAGATGTGAGTGTGAAGGGGGATCTTATTGCTTCCCACCACTACCTGAAAGGAGGTCATAGCCAAGTGGGGGTTGGTCTTTTCTCCCAGATAACAAA